GTGCTCTTTTCTCTTCCCGCGGCATGTTGGCCTGGGTCTCTCCGAAATGCCTCCCCGTGTGTCTTCCCCGTGCCCCCGCTCTGCTCTGGCTTCCGGGTCACGCTGTGCACTGTCGAGACTGCTCTGTGGAACTGATGTATCATCCCATGGCCTGGTTCATTCGGGGTCTGTGTCTTCGTCTTGGGGGGGATTTTCCTATTTCTTGCCACACTTCGTAATTCTGTTTTTTAATTGTGGTGCTGGGAATACACCTGAGGGCCTTGGACACATGCAGGTTGAATGTGGCTGCTGCCGAGCTGCATTCCCAGCTCGTACATTTTATTTTGAGACAGTCTTGGTGAGGTGTCCAGGCTGGCCTTGACTTGCCGTCCTCCTGCCTCAGTCTCCTAAATAGCAGGGATTTACAGATGGGAGTCACCACATCCGGGTCAGTTCTGATAATTTTTGATCAGATGATGAACATTGTGAGTTTTACCTGTAGGGTGCTCCATAAAGTGTGTTTGTGATTGCTTTACATATTCTTGAGTTTTGTGTTCTTTGTATTGCTTGGAGGCTTGCTCTTTGAGGTTTGATTTCAGGCTTTGTTGGTGGAACAAAAACAGCCTGATTGTAGAGCTAAGTTCACATTGTCAGTCTCAGTGGACTCCCTAGTGGCTCCCGCTCTGATTAACGGAACATGAGTGGCTCCGGGCCCCATGGGGAAGCTGGGCATTGTTTCCGGATTCTTTTCCAGACTCTGCGGTTTCCCCACAAGAGGAACACTCAGCTCTCAAGTTGTGCGGTGGACGGCGTCGAGAGGCACCTGCAGGTCTCAGAGGCGGTGGGGCCGGGCCTCTGTCTCCTTTCGGTTCTTTCCGTTTTTACATGGTGTATTTGCGTGGTGTTTGGGACTGTTATATCTTCTAGATAAGCTGACACTTCTGCGTTTCCCTAAAGTCCTTCTTGCTCTTGGCAGTGTGCCCCGTTCTGAAGCCTCCTCGGCCTGATGTCAACGCGATCAGTCTTTATGTGGGTGTTTTGCATGCTTTCACTTAGGCCCATCTATTTCATTATACTTAAAGTGATGCTCTTGTAGATGAGACTGCAGGATCTTCTTACTTTCATATATTTATTTGTGAGGCTGGCCAGCCTGCCTCAGACTCCTGTCCTCAAGCAATCCTGCCTCAGCTTCCCAGTCATTGGGGGTGCGGGTGCAGGCTGGCTGTGCTGGATCTCTTTCTCCGAAGATCTTCAATCCCATGTACCTTAGTGCAGTGTGGGGCCGTAGTGGCATTAGCAGTGAATGACTGAAGACAATTTAAGCTTGCTTGTCATTATCTTGCCCACAATGTACATCTAATTAGCTTCTGTTATCAAGTTACTTGTTTTCTATTAATAATGTGTGTCCAACTACAGACCCTCCATTAAATTAGGGCTGTAAATTCTCTTTAAAAGAAATCCTATTTGTGTGTCAACCTACCAGATCCATACTAGGCTAATTTCATTTGCTCAATTTTGCTTCACGTTTTAGAGATTTCTTTTTAAGTTAGTTGTGTTGTATAACTAAACTTAATGAAAGATGTACATGAATCTAGAAAAGGATTGGCAGAGTACAGTGTCTTTGTATGGCCTGCGAGCTCAGAGGAGTTTTTACCTTTTTTTGTTGCTGTTGTTGTATTTTTGAGACAGTCTCACTATGTGGTGTAGGCTGACCTTGAACTCAGTCAGCCTGAACCCCACATTGCACTCGGCCCTGGCTGGCTTCCAATCTGCAGCAATCCTCCTGCCTCAGCCTCCCGAGTGCTGGGATTGCAGGCACGTGCTATCATGCCTGGCCAAGTTTTACATTTTAACCAGCTCCGGTCCCCGCTCCTTTCCTCAACAGAGACTGTGTGTGGCTCACAGAACTTAGACGATGGCACTTACACTCCGGTTGTTTTCAGGAGACAAATCTGCACTCCCTGTTTTTTTTTTCACTCAAATCCGGGCACCCCAGAAGGCTAGAAGAATCACGGGAGTCCCGCCCTGTACTGCCGCCCCGACTGCAGCCTGGTCCTTTTCCCAGCCTCTCTCTGGAGTCAGGCTTCCATTCAACTTACTTTTGTTTCAGATGAAACTTTCTGCTGTCTTTGATGTGTCCTTCAGCCTTCTTCGCCCCCTCCCCCCTCCCATGCGCTGTCCCCTGCTCCACGTCCTGGAGAGAGCTCCCCAGGGACAGGACAGGGGCCGCCTCCTCCCTGGGCTCCTGAGCATGGGTGTCTGACCCCAGCCTCGAGGCTCTGGTCTCCACGACTCGGATTCAGCTCTGCCTTTTATTACAGGGGTGTGGTGCTTGGTGGGGCTGTGCCCCTGAGATTTGGGACTCTTGCTGGTGGAACTTGGGACCCAGTTCTTAGAAGTGAGGTGCTGGGTCGCGTGAGTCACAGCATATGTATGGCTCTGCTTGGAGTCTCCCTTGGGAACTGAGCTTTTGTCTTTCTGGCAAAGGGGTGCAGATGCCCAGCTTCCCTGCAGCTGCCTCATGGAGCGCGTGGCCTGACATGGGGTTTTGCTGGTTTGCTAGGGGAGAAGTGGTGTCTCTGGGCTAAGGTTTATGATTAGATTTCCGCCGGGAGCCTCATGGACTCATGAGTGGGCTTTTAGAAGGTGGTTGGATTATGGGGTGCTGCGGCTGATTTGCTATCAGGAAGTGGGGTCTGATCAGAAGAGGCAGGGCTGGGGGAGGATTGCGAGGCTGCCTCTGTCCTCTAAGCTCCTCCTTCACGCTCTGCTTTGTGATCTCCATGAGGTGAGCAGCTGCCCTTCCGCCAGACCCTCCTGCCTCGCGGCTGCTGCCTGGAGCTGCCCGGCCATCCGAGGACTGACGCTCCTGAAATGTGAGCCAAAGTGATCCTCACTTCCTTTAAGTTGTGATGATTGGGTATTTCGTCCCAGTGATGATAAAAGTGACTGAGACACTCGGTGTAATTTCAGATTGAATTGTCCTCATTCTGAGCTGGGCAGGGGCCATTTCCTGTCTTACAAGTTCTGTGTCTCCTTGTAATGTTTCTATACAGCTGTTCCTTCCCCTTCCATCTCTTTCTAGAAACTGAGTTACAGGGAGTAAGTAGCCTTGGCCTCTACTACTGGTTGCAAATATTTCTAACGTTTGTCTTTTTTACTTTACCTATTTGTTATTTATTTACTTATTTTCTTTCAAGCAAGCACTCTTCTGAATTACTGTTTTCATGTATTTTTCTTTTCTTTTATCGCGTCTGCCCCTGGAGTCCTAGTTGGGGAAATTTCTGCGAGTCTCAGGATGTAGAGAAGTTGAATCATGGCTTCTTTGCATGTGTCACGGTTTCCTGTCCTTTTCAGTGTTTATTGTTGGCCTTCGTTGTCACTTCTCAGGGTGCTCGGCTCCTTCCTGTGTGCGTGGACGCAGCGTGGACACAGCCACGGCCGCGACCTCCCTCTGCCGGCTCCTGCTGTCTGTGCTGCTCACGTTCCCCCATTGGAAGCCCCCAGTGCGCTTCTCCGGGAGGAGGAATTGAAACTGGCAGGGACCTGCTGAGATGGTGCAGCTCTGACCTGCGGGCAGGACCGAGGAGGGGGCTGTGTGTGTCGTGGTCCCTGACGGAGCACGGTGCCTCCTTATACCCTCGGCTGGGGTCTCTTGCACTCTCTGACTCGGGTGCGGCCCAAAGGGCAGGGAAGTGTGCCTTCTCCCAGGGACTGTCAGGCTGTAGCACCATGCCCTTGTGCATCCAGGACCTGCCCTGGCGATGCGGTGTTAAGCACCATGAGGAGCAGAGGGAGGGGCAGGGCAGACCTAAGAAGTGGAGGTGCTGGGTGGCAGTGAGTAGCACAGTGAAGGAGACGAGACTGGACTCTCTCAGGGGACGGGTGGGCGGAGCCAGAGCCGGGGATGGATTGTTCAGAACCATGCTCCTTTGCCTCCTACTAAAGCACCTCCTTGGGGAAGCGAGATTCCCAGAGTGCAGTGTTGTGCTCTGCAGGCTTCAGGCCCGGAAAGCCCTTTCCTCAGCCTGCCCTATGCGGCTTGGCGATGTGCTGCTCAGGGGCCCTGGCAGTGGCCACTGGCTTCTGTCCTGGGTCTGGGCACCTGCAGGCTGGCTCACTTCTCTCTCCTGGCTGTTTGTAGGCGCAGGCACAGGGAGCCGCTGTGAAGAGGCTCAGAGAGGCGTCTCGTTAGTTGTCTGCCCTTGCACAGGGGTTTGCCCCGAGCATTGGCAGAGGCAGGAAGTGGCCAGCAGCAGGGTGACTCTGGGCCGAGGGAGGGAGTGGGTGGCAGGGGTTTTGCGGAGTCCAGGCTGCGTCTACAGGCTTAGGAATGGGTCCGGAAGGGATCTGGAGAGCTGTGCTTCCTGCAAACCTGGCGCCACATTGGAAACCAGATAGTAGGAAATATTAGTCTGGGAATTTGAGGATATAAATTCCTTTTCTTTCTTTTTTTTAATTGGTCAGAGACCTTATGTCTTAGCTGGTAGGCCATGGGACCTGCTGCAGCCACCCCGGGAGCTAGGTTCCTCGCCGGAAGGGTCCCAGCAGGCACTTGAGCCCTGGCCACACCTGTGTCATTGTGGCAGTGGACACAGCAATGCCACAGGATCCTGGGTCATCCATGTGTTTCTTAAACGAAGCCGCTAGTTTGTCACCACTCTCTGCCCAAACCATGTGTTTCAGAGCAGAAGTTGTTGGTGACCAGTGGCTCTGAAGAAGACGAGCCGTGATTTGCCACTCCTGCTAGTGGCTTAGTGGACAGGAAGCTATGAAACACTGGTCCTGAAGCTTAGAAATAAAAAGTGTCTGTGACATCAAGATATGTGCTGTGATTCCGGCTGAGTGGCTTATGCCCAAGCCTTGATCCCTCCCACTCCTCCAGGGATGACAGTCTGGGACTCTGAGCTGTGAATTGCTGTTGGCACCGGGTCCCTTTCACACCCCTGTGATGCCTGTGACAATAGATCTCTGCCCCTTAGGCTCCCGCTTAGCACCTCTCCCTGTGTCCCCTCCTGCAGGTGGTGAGAGGCTACAAGGCCACCATCCAGCAGACCCTGGACATCCTCTTCCTGCAGGAGGGCTCCGAGTTCCTGAGCAGCACGGACGCTTCCACCCGGGACTCTGCAGACCGCACTATCATCGCCTGGGACTTTCGGACCTCAGCCAAGATCTCCAACCAGATTTTCCACGTGAGAAGCCCGATTTGTTACTGACCTCAGCTTCAGCCTCAGGCCGTATCCCTGTTACCTGTTCTGTCTGGGGCCCTGGCCCCTTCTTGTGCATGGAGGTTCAGGTGCCTGAGGTCCCTAGGGTAGTGGTAGGTGCTACACACATGGGGGGGCCTTCTACAGCTCCTGGTGTACCCCGCCTCCTGATTCCCACCCCACAGCAGGTGGAGCTGACAGAGCATGTCAGGTGGATGGGGAAGAGGGCTGTGGAGTCTGATTTGTGGCCATGCCCAGCATCCAGGCCTTCTTGCGCAGTGTCTTTGATGGGCAATATGTCATAGGGGCCATGAAGTTAGAGGGCCTGTGTTCGAGTCCTGGCTTCACCACTTGCAAGGTGGGGACCCTTGCTGGGACCCGGGGACCACTAGACTCTTTGATTCCTGTTAGAAAATTGAAAATGAAAGCCAGGTGTGGTGGTACATACCTGTAGTCCCGGCTTCTTGGAAGGCTGAGACAAGATGAATGCTTGAGTCCAGGAGCTCAAGACCAGCTTGGATAACCTGAAAAAGCCCCCATCTTAAAACAGCAACCATAGCCAAAACAAAATAAAACAAAACAAAGCAAAACACCAAGAAAGGAGAAAGAAAGTTGAGGACGATATTACCTCCTAGAATGATTTTGAGAAGCAGGAGAAAGAAGATGGTCATAAAGGTTATAGCACAGTACCAGGCACAGAGTTCCTTTGAGCCTCGCCTATCATTGCTACCACCACCACCATCACCACCATCGCCATCGTCGCTGTCATCACCAACACCACGGTCATAACTACCACCACCATCACCACCATCGCCATCGCCATCATTACCATCACCATCACCATGTTTATCAGCTGGATGATCACCCTCGTCACCACCCTGATCATCTTCTGAGATTTCAGATCTGCCACCACTCGCGGCTGGTGCCCCACCCTGAGCTGAAAGCCGCAGGTGTACACACAGTTCCCCCTCTTGGGCTCTGCTGTCCTCTGAGCCCGGCAGACCCGCTTCCAGACTTCAGGCTGGGTGTCTGCTGCTTCCCAGTGGGAAGGATGGTTCCAGGGGTTGTGGGCATGTCTGGTCACCATGGGTATCCTGGCTGTGAGGTCGGCAGAGCTGGGCACTAGGCAGATGGGTGCACGTTGCCCGAATCTCCGTGGATCGAGTGGTGCTGTGCCTCACGCCATGGTCCCATCACATGGCCTGTGACGTGTATGTGGTCCAGCTGCTCCCCACTGCCCTGAGACGGGGCGGGGCCGACAGTGGTTGAAGCAGTGTTACCACGTCGCTTGCTGGACCTTCCTTCCACCCTGTGGGCTGGGCCCCGTGGAGGTGGTGTGCATGTGCATCAGCCTTTTGTCCCTGGGTGGCAAATGACCACACGACTTCTCCTGTGGCCCGGAGGCCAGCACTGCATGACACATCCTGAGCGACCCCGGGAGAGGTCCAGGTGTGGGCAGCTTGAGCTCCGGGGAAGAGCCTTCCTTGCCTCCTACAGTGTCCGATGGCCACTGCTCCAGCTGTTAGGGCCAGCGTCTTCCATCATACTTCCTGTGCACGTGGCCGTGGCTGTGTGTGCCGGACTCTGCTCTCCTCTCAAGGGGAGCCTGTGACTGCACTGGGGCCATAACCTAGGATTACCCCACCCCATCCTTAAGTTAATTATATTCAGGGCGACCCTTTTGTTGGCTTTGTTAGGTCACATTCATGGGCCTCAGGGTTAGGACAAAGGTTATTTTGGGGACCATTTTTCAGCCTCTGATAAGGGTTGCAGGTAGAGGCTGAAAAAGAGTGTGGAATCCAGACCCCCGCCCTGACCCCTGAGCCCTGCTGGCACCCAGTTTTGGCACAGGGAGACCCATGTCAGCATCTGACCTCCAGCGCCTCGTGGCAATGAGTGCGTGGCTTTGAGCTTCAGAGAGTGGTGATTCCTTACAGCGGCTGTGGGAACCCGAGAAACCCCTAAGGCGAGGGCAGAGTGTGGGTGGGTGCCTGTGGAGGGAGCTGTCCCCGGCAGAGCCTTCTCTGAACCCCTGCGCCCTGCCGTCCCCCAGGAGAGGTACACCTGCCCCAGCCTCGCCCTGCACCCACGGGAGCCTGTGTTCCTGGCGCAGACCAATGGCAACTACCTGGCCCTCTTCTCCGCGGTGTGGCCCTACCGGATGAGCAGACGGCGGCGCTACGAGGGCCACAAGGTACCCATCCAGTGCCCCAGGGTGGACACTGAGCCCTGGCTTCGGAGCCGCCCTAGGCAGGGTCGGGAGTGGGTGTGGGGCCCTCTGTCTGAGTGGCTTCCAGTTTCTCTCCTGGGGACTGCAGGCCATGTCAGCTGCTGTGTGCTCAGGGCCACCTGTGTGCAGCTGCTGGGCAGGAGAACATTAGGCTGCTCACACCGTAGGGCCATGGGTGGGGCAGGAGCAGGCCAGAGTGCGCAGGGACATTTCCACCCTTTCCTGCCCAAGGCCAGCTCAGCTGGAACAGGGACGGGGGACTGGGGATGCTGCCGGCTCCTGCTGGACCTGCGTCAGGGCCTGTGCCTCTGCAGAGCACCCCGTGGCCTGTGTCCCGGAGCCTTGAGGACCAGGTGAACCCCACTTACCCCCTCCGTGTCTCCTGGCAGGTGGAAGGCTACGCCGTGGGCTGTGAGTGCTCCCCCTGTGGTGACCTGCTGGTGACAGGCAGCTCGGACGGCCGGGTCCTGATGTTCAGTTTCCGTACTGCCAGCCGGGCGTGTACGCTGCAGGGACACACGCAGGCCTGCGTGGGCGTCACCTACCACCCCATCCTGCCCTCTGTGCTTGGCACCTGCTCCTGGGCGGGCGACATCAAGATCTGGCACTGACCCCAGCCCAGCCTGGCCCGGGAGGGCGCGTGTGGGAGCTGCCTGGAGAGAACTTTGGCTCGGCCCTCGGCCCTGGCTGCATCAGCTTCTGCTTGGTCTCAGGGTGCTGAGGGTCACGTGAATGAAAGCACCGGCCCGGTGCAGCCCTGTGAAGGTGTGTCGTGCTGTTTCTTCCGCTGTCTCAGCCCTGGATGTGAGGTGGCAGCTTCCTCTGCCTCTCTGGTCAGAAACCCAGCAGGCAGGGGCTCAAGCTGGGGCAGGCGCCTTGTCCATCCAAGGGCCCTAATCCCCTTCTTCCCAATGCAGTGTAACTGGTGGAGAGCCAGGGTGCCTGGACCGCAGTGGGGAGGGGTGGGCTCCCTCTGGGTGGCTTCTGCCCACTGCCAGGCGCCGTCCCTGCTACCCATGCACCGTGTCTGAGCCCATGGAGGGACAAGATGGGTGGGAGCCGGCGCAGCACCCAAAACCCAGGACTGAAGTCCGGGGTCTTCCCGAAGCCCGGGCAGACTTTGGAGGAGGGGCTTCCTGCCTGTTCCCAGCAGGCCCAGGACTTACGTCTGTTGAGTGGATACACCCAGGCTCCCTGTCGGCCAACCTGGGGTCCGGGGTCCGGGGGCCCTGCTTCCCCGGTGCCAGCTTAATACCCACCCCACTCACCAGCAAGCGCTGTGCTGACCCTGCCCTGCCTGGTGTGCAGCAGCTTGTGCTGTCAGGGGAGGACAAGGGGGGTGACTGCCCATCCCCCAGGCCGTGCAGCGGGATTTGGGCCAGCAGCCAGCTCAAGTCCCAAGCCCAGCACCCAGTTGCCTAGGGCATTGCTTCTCCCAGTCTCAGTTTTCTCATCCATAAAATGGACCTGTGGGGCCAAGCATGGAGATAATGCAAAGGTCATTGTAGGTTGTTACCCTGTCACTTTTATTTAGGATACCTGTCACCCAGATCCATGTCTCTGAGGTCTATTTTTTTCTAGCTGACCTGTAGCCCTGACCACCCCCCAACCCCGGACTCCCCAGGGCTCCTTGTGGTTGCTCTCTAGTGCTGCATGTGGTTTCTCAGCCTAGGATGCTGGCTGCCACCGCCCTTTGTGGGGTGCTGGCCTCCCTGGGTCTTGTCTGCCTCTCTTGTAGAGACCGACTTTGATCCTTGGCGAGGTGTGGGGGAGTTTGCCATTTGCAATGTTAAAAGAAGGCTAAACTTGAAAACATGGGGCAGGAGGTAAGAAGCAGGGCTCCCCCTCCACCCACCTTCCCGGGCCTCTGTCCTACCTTTAAAATCTGAAATGCCACGGCCTAGGCTGTCGTGGGGAGAGACAGCTGCAGCTCGACCTGCTAGGCGTGGCTTGACTTGTATTGTGAGTGGCACTTGTGTTCCCCGTGCATGTTCCCGTAGTGCCCACCCAGAAGGGAAAACTGACCCATGGGCGTCCTAGCACTTCCCAGAGAGCACACGGCCACTGCAGGCCAAGGTGAGATGGCTGTGGGTGACGGGGGTGGGCAGTGCCCAGGTGGGGTTCACCCAGGCAGATGGGGACTGTGGGTAACAGGTCCATTGCATCTGAGGGCAGATTCAGGGGGAAGCTGAGAGCTGAACCCCCGAGGTACCTGGGAGCCCTGAGCAGTGTCCAGAACTCCTCTGTGTTTCCTTTGTCTGGATTACTTGATACACTCCTACTAACCCTTAAACACCCAGCACAAGCCTCTGCCTCCGACCCCTTTCTCTCCCAGTGGGACAGTGAGGACCCCCTCTTTGTAGGTGCCACAGGCTGCACTAAGATGTGAGGCTAATGTGATGGGGTCTGCCTCCCTCTTCTACCCTGAAGCTCTTTGGGACACCGCCAGGTCTCTTGGCCAGCCTGGCTGGACAACTGGCTGTAGGAGGGGAGTGCCGAGCCCAGCCCAGGGGGTTCTAGAGAGAAGTGCTGCCGCCCAGAGCTGCAAGCTCTTCAGCCCCTGGGTCCCTGGAGCCAGCTTTGAGCCAGGGCCACTTGGGAGCAAATGAAGTGCTCTGCCTCTAGTGCAGGGGCCCGGCAGGCTCAAGTGCTTGGGGACGTGGCACCTGCAGCTGGGGTAAGCTTCAGGGCATGACCTGCGTCAAGGTAGTCCCCAGGGAGCCTGGTGGGGCAGGTGCAAAACCCCCTGGAGAAGGCGGCTCCATCCTTGGCCTTGCAGGACCCACGAATGCATTTCTGGGGCACTTGTGGCAAGGAGGCCCTCGCATGCGGAGAAGGTGGAGACACTGGCAGGAGCTGAAGGAGCAGGACTCCACGTGAGGGCAGGACAGGACAGGACTGGCCCCAGGCTGTGCCTCTGTCTTCCCAGAAGTCAGACAGGACTGGGAAAGCACTCCAGCACGTGGAAGCTACAGAAATGTTAAGAGCGGGAGTCACGAGACCTCTGTGGCTGTTTCGCTGTGGCATGAACACAGCAGAGGGAAATCTGTGAGCCGGACCCAATGACAGGCCATGGCATTGTACTGGGGGAAGGGAGGGTTAAGGAGGTACAGGAGGGGAAGCAGGAGGTGGATGGACACAGCTCGAGGGGCCACCAGGGGTCCAACGGGCAGAGGTGTTTTTAAAAAGTAATAGTTACATGTTCCAGATGATGGAATCCACCAACCCCAGATAGAGATCCCTGTGACCTCTAAAAAGGGACCCTACACCCGGACAGTTGGGGGACACTGCAGAAAACAAAGTCCAAGCTAAGCTTGGAGCAGCCAGAGGAAAGGAGAGAGATGACTACGGAGGAAGAGACAGCACCCAGAGAACTGTGTCCCCAAAACAAGAACAGCAGGGTAGACATTTTCAGCAGGGTAGAAACAGCTTGCAAGCAGCAGGCTCACACTAAGGAAGTGTGAAGAAGGCATTTGGGGTAGAAAGGAAGACGGGGTACAGGAATCGCGTGTGGGACACATCCTGGGCAGTGGGCTGGGGGGACTCCAGTGCCAATCAGGGGTGGCCCTAAGTGCCCTGGGACCCTGGAAGTTGGGGAGAAGAAACAACCCAAAGGCAGATTCTCTCCACGGGTGTCTTTTATTAATGAGTGCAAAACACAACACTGACCAGACAGGCATGCTTCACAGAGAGGAGGGCGGGGACGGGGCCTCATACGTCTGAGGTAGAGCACAGTGGGGTCGGGGGGGTGGGGGGGTGAGCACCGGCCGTGTGGGGCATCGTCCCGGCCCACTCGGGATTCGGGCCTCGGTGGAGCTCGGGGTGTGCTGGCCGCACGGGGAGAAATGGGTTTTAAAACATCTCCTATCCCCTCTTGTGGACAGAGCTTCGGGGTCCCCTTGCCGCTGGCTTGCCGGGTGTCTCCCCGCCACTGTGGAGTCTGGTTGGTCCCCTGCTGGGGACGGGCCCCACGCACCCTCACCGGAAAAAGAAAGGAGCTTTGTGTTGAAAACGCCAAGGCTGCCGTCCAGGGAGCTGGAGGCCAAGTGCGTTAAGAAAGACCCTTTGTCTCTATAAAAATAGTTTCACCTTAGAAAAGGGGGGCTGCTCACCGCGGGCGGGGACGCTGGGCGTGGAAAGGGTCTACGTGGGCCCGCCATGGCGGGGCTGGGACGGACGATCACAAGGGCAAGGGGCCTCCTCTCGGGCTACACGGGTGGGGCGCAGAGGGGACCTGGCGGGACGGGCCCCTGTTGGCAGGGGCGGGGCGTGGGCAGGGCGGCGCCCCTCGGGCGCACTGGGCCTGTGCGGCTGGCACAGGCGCTCAGTTGAGCAGCGTTCCGTAGAGCTGGGCCTTGGTCAGGCTGTCCTTGCGGCTCAGCCCCGAGCTGCCAGTCCGCGGGAAGGCCTGCGGGGGCCCCGGGCGGGCGGCGGGGTGCATCTCCGGCGAGGCCTCCATGGAGCTGGGCTCCAAGGAGTCCCTGGAGCCAGGCTCCGGCTCAGGGCTGCTGCCAGCCCCGCAGAGCTGCGCCCCGAGCCGGTCCCCGTCCCCGTCCCCGTCACTGGCTGCGTAGCCGGGGAGCGGGTCAGCGGAGCGGCTGGGGCTGAGGCTCAGGCCCCTGCCCGCCCGGAGGAAGCAGGGCTCTGCCAGGTGGCCCTGGGACAGGTCGTCGCCCTCCGAGAAGCTGTCGGCCTTGTAGGTGGCGTAGAGGGGGCTGGCGCGGCCCTCGGCCTTCCGGCCCGGGCTGCCCACGCTGCCACCGTAGTAGCGTTCGGAGAAGCTGCGGGGCGAGGCGCGGCCCGCCGTGGCGGCTGGGTAGGAGTAGGCACCGATGTCCTCGACGCTCAGGGGCCGCCAGTGGCCTCGCATGTCGTCCCTGGCCATCCGGGCGGACCCTGGCTTGGCCCGCAGGCTCCACAGGTTTGGGGGCATCAGGGCCTGCTGGGGGCCCGGGGAGGCCGGGAAGCGGAAGGACTCGGCCGGGTACGGGGACATGGTCCGCGCGAACCCCGGGGCCACCTCGGCCTCCAGCGGGGAGGCCACCGCGGCCGCGGCCTTGGCGAAGCGAGGGCTGCCCTCGTAGGCGGGCGGCTTGCGGCTGAAGAGCTCGTCGCGGCTGCTCAGGTAGATCGCCCGCTGCGAGGCGGTCAGCGTGCTGGCCTGCGCGTGCTCCTTCTCCTCCGACGTGGCGCTGAAGCTGGAGTAGGAGCTGGACGTGGGCAGCGAGCCCGCGTAGCCTGGGAAGGCATCGTGGCGGAAGCTGGCGGGGAAGGCCGCCGCCTCGGCCTCCTCCTCCTCCTCGGCCGCACTGTCGGTGGAGTTCTGGGCCTGCAGGAAGCCCACGTCGTCCACGGGCGCGTCCACGCTGGGCCGCCGGTCGAGCTGCGGCTCCTCGGGGTGGTAGAGGGCCGAGTCACTGCAGCAGATGTCCTCCTTATACGGGGACCGCGGGCCGGACTTGTCCACGCCGTCGCGGAAGGCCAGGTCTCGGGCCGAGGCGTCGGACAGGTGGGAGGACAGGCTGGCGGGGTCGGGCTTCTCCAGCACCTTGGCGATGACGCAGGTGGGGACGCTGTCGGCGTAGGCCGGACGGCAGATCGGGGAGGGCAGGCTGCGGCCGTGCTTCTCCAGGTGCAGGCTCACGCGCTCCTGGAAGTCCGAGGGCAGCTGGAAGGGGCGCAGGGAAGTGGGGTGGTTACAGGTGGCAGGTGGCTCAGCTCTGGCCCTCCGGCTGAGGACGGTCGCCAGTGTGATGGACAGGCA